GAGTGGGGAGTCCATGGGGAAGGGGAGGGAGGGAGCCGTGAGAGGCACGCGGTGATGGCTGGTCCCCATCCAGGCACCTGCCCACGGTCCCCAACAACCCGTTGCCCGCCCCAACGTCCTGGGAAAGGGGAGGGGGTGCTCTGCCTCGGCTCCGGCGGGGTGCGGGGGTTGAGGGGGGTGCTTCCGTGGTGGCGGCACCTTCCCCCTCTTCGCCGAGGCCGCCCTGTGGGCCAGCCCTCGGAGCGCGTCCGCTCTTACCCGGTCCCGGCTCCGGCGTCCGGAACAGCTTGCAGGCCACACAGTTTCGGACCAGCGGGTCAAAGCACTGGGCCTGGACGCACTGCGTGGGGGCTGGCGCGTCCCTGCCCCTAGGGCTCCTCGCCCCGCGCCTCATGCTGCTGATCCCGCTGCACCCCTTGTTGGCTCTGAGTCGCCTCCGCTGCCCCAAGGGGAGGAAACCGGGCGGGGCCACCGCCCACTGCCCCAGGTCCCGCCCTCCTGCCTGCTGGGGTGGGACTCTCAGCCGCGGCCCCAGGGCCCTGTACCTCAGACCTTCTCTTTCTACCTGTGGTTTCTCCCTTCAACCACTCAACCATCACCCCCGAGCCAGCCCATGGGCGGGCCTTCTGCCGGGCACTGGGGCAGGGTTGGGGCTCAGCCCAGGGCCTGCTCTTGGGTAGCAGAGGATGGGCCCCGCAGTCAGCACACAGACCTCTGGGTGCCCTCCTCTGTCCTGCTCCCCAAGGCCAGCTCATAGCCCCAGGAGATCCCCACTAGCCATTTCCCCTCACCTGCCTCCTCCTCTGGGGAGCCCTCCGGCCCTTCGCAGGAAGAGCTGGTTCAGTTCATCAAACACATCCCGAATGTCCACACTGGATGCATCGCAGGGATTCTGCCCCTGGGGGTGGTGATGGGGGAGACAATGCCTCATAGTGGCCAGTCCAGGTCACTACCAGGGAGGGCTGGAGGGCACAGGAAAGCTTTTGTGGAGACGATGAGGATTTGCTAGATGGAGTAGGTCTGGGGTGTGTGTGGGCGGGGGTGGGGGGGGAATGATAGGAAGGGGCCCAGTGTGAGCAAAGGCTTCAAGGCCCAGGTGTGAAGGCTGGGGAGCGCTGGGACCAGAAGCCTGGCCTGGGGCCTCGATTGAGGGTTAAGGAGCTCAGACACTGGCCCAAAGGCTCTAGGGAGCCACGGAGGACTTTAAGCAAGGAGTGTCACAGTCAGACCTGTGTGTTAGCACGGAACCTCTGGCTGGAGTGGAGGGCACAGAGGGGCAGGGCTAGGGCAGCCAAGGGTCCAGGGACAGCTCAGTCTCCAGATCTTAAGCAGGAGGGAGACTCAGCTCAACAGATGGACGGACAGATCAAGGCCCAGTAAGCGGCCCGCCTACCCCGACTTTTTTCTCAGGACTGTGTGTGTCCTGGGTTGCTCGCCTCTGTGTCTCACTGGGATGCCCCGTGTATGACTCTATGCCCCAGTGTTTGGGTTCCCCCACGTGTCTCCCATATGTGTCTCAGACTGAGTCTCAGACACACACGTACAAGCTCCCTCGACCTTCCTTGACATCTGGGGGCAAGGGCTGGCAGAGAGCCTCAAGCATGAAGCACGGGTTTAGTGCCTCATGGTGGCCCATACCAGCCCCCTAAACATTCTAGGGCTGGGGGACACAGAGGAAGGAATAACTGTCCAGGGGACAGGGAGGGGACTTGTGGGGGGGAGTGGATTCTTAGAAGCTGCAAGAGGCTAGGAAGCGTTCCAGGCAGAGGCAAAGGCATGGAGAGGTAAAACAGGGAGCTTTCTCTGGGGACAGGCATAGCCCCTGCCTCAGGGGATGCTGCTGAGGGAGGGAGGGAGCCTGCGGCTGCAGCCAGGCCTCAAGCCACGGGCACCTGGGCAGCGAGGATCCCCAGGAGGTGTCTGAGTGGAGGGAGAGAGTCTCTGCCTTGTGCTTCAAGGGGCCCATACGTCTGTGGCTGCTGTAGAGTTGGAGACTGGACAGGTGAGCGGAGCGGCAAGGAGGCTGGCACCTCGGTCCAGGGCAGGGGAACCGTCCCGCGGTTGTTTGGGAGGAGCGAGTGATGCCGTGGAGTGAGGAGAGCCAAGCTGGTCCCCAGGTTTCTGGCTCAGGGGACCCTGAGGACTCACATGGAACCCCGGTCAACTGGCCTTGAAGAGCCCTGGTCCACTGCCTCCCCAGCCCCTGCCCACGGGCCAGCAGCTCCGCGACAGGAAGGTGTAGGCGGCGGGGCAGCTGCAAAGGAGAAGTGGGTCTGGGGTGGTGGGTGTGGGTGTGGGTGTGGGTGTGCGGTGAGGGGGCGAAGGAGTCTGGAGAGGAGCCTGGGCAGGCAAGGCCCTCCTATGGGGCAGACGGGTGGGGGCAAGGTGAGGGGACCGATCCCCACCCCCACCGCCACCGGTGCTCTCGCCTGTCACCCTCAGGCCCGCAGAGCCCCCACTTAACCTCATGCCACACACTCGCGGTGGAGGCCTGTGGGAACCCAGAGGAGTGTGGGCCAGGTCTGGGGTCAGGTACATGAGCCACCTCTGACTCCTCTGGCAAAGAGCAGAGGTGGTGGCCCTCAGGGACCCCAGCCTGAGCAGTGGGGTCATAGATATGCACTCCTGCACATTGGGACAGGCAGCCCTGAGGGAGAAGCAGAGATACTCATTGGACGCGGATGCCTCCTGGGTGGCTCATTTGTGCCTGCACCGGCCAGGTGCCTAGGACAAAGGCGCCAACAGCGAAAGGCCTGTGGGATCCTTTCGGTGGTGTGCAGGTGTTTGACCATGGACCAACCTTTTCACTTGCGCCTCCTAAATAGGGAGGGAGGGGGGCCTCGAATCTCTGCCTGGACAGCTCGGCAGTTGAAAAGAGGTTTCGCCACCGTGGTGAATGTTAGGTTCTCAGCGTACTCTCTTCTTTTTAAATAGCGCTTTAAGTCAAGTTTATTCACTTCTTTATTCGTCTTCTACATCACTTTTTGACTATGAGATGGGACTGAGAGAGGCGTTGAAGTTTCTAAGATCAATGTGGTTTTCGAGAATTTTTCTTGTTCTTTTAACAGTTTTGACTCTAAATAGTTTGACATCATCATCTCGATGTATTCTTGAAGAGAAAATACAGACTCTGTTGCTGAAAAACCCTTCTAATTGAATCTGTCTCAGTATTCTCAAGTTTTCATTCACTGATCAATTTTGAAAGGATGATTAATTTGGGGTCTGTCAGGTAGAAGGGAGTCTCTGTGGATTTTTGTTCCCCAAATCCTCCCAAAACATCCTCCTGGCAGGTCTAATACTGGCATTCTAATGATCTCCATTTTTTCAGATGGGGAAAAATGGGGCTCGGAGGGACAAAGGGATGACCCAGCACATATGAGGGGGCACGGACGGGGTCTGCGTCCAGTCGACTGTGAAGTGTGGCCTGTGCCCTTCATGCCTCAGGGACAGGGTGGGGGAAGTGAAGAAATTCAGGGCCTGTCAGACAAGCTCCGTGTCATGGCAGGGCAGTCCCTAGGGGCAGAGAGGCCCAACCCCCAAGATCTGGATGTGAAAGTGCGCAGATCCGGAATGCACGTCGCACTTAAAAATTCATTTTATATGTAATTCTGTGAGTAACACCTAAACACATTCTTGTGAAAAACACCTGAAGCAATCGGAGTCTCTGAGTAAAAACGAGCATTTCCCCTCCGCCCCAGAGGGAGCTCTTTTCACCTGGAGTCTCTCGGTCCGGTCTCTGTTGCCTTTAAATTGCCGTGTGTGTGTGTGTGTGTGTGTGCGTGTGCGTGCGCGTGCGTGTGCGTGTGCGTGTGCGTGTGTGTGTGTGTAGGGGACAGGCCTTGTGTTTCACGAAGCCGGAGCAGGTGTGAACGGTTCTGCTGGCCTTCCCCACCCTCCTCTGCCCCGGCCCGGAGCGTCCTATGGGTCCTCTCCATCTTACGTTGCCACAGCAGCCCGCCCGTCACAGCAGATTCCCTTTGCCTTCAAGTACACTGCTTGGAAGTCCCCCTCACTGGGGATGGCGGGAAGGACGTGATGTTGGGCCTCTGAACACTGGGAGAGGGGACGGAGAGCCAGGGGCTGAGTATAAAGTCTTAATGGAGCCAGAGAGCCCCCCGCCCCTCGCAATGCCTTCAACCCAGGCAATGCGAGGGCAGGTCATGCGCTTCCATGAAGCAGTTACAAAACCCAACCCAATCCACGTCTGCGGGCCTGAGCTGCCCGTCCTTGAGCCCCCATTCTTGCTACCTACGTACATGCGCGGAGGCGTGTGCACAAAATCCAGCACTCCGGGGGGGCCCTGGGATGGGGGAATGGGGGGACTTTTATGACTCTATGTCAGGTCAGAAAGGAGACTCTATCCCCTTAGCCTCTCAGCCACGCTGAGTGGAGCGCCCATCTCATGGGTGCTAGGCCTGAAGGCAGAAGGTGGACGGAGGCTGTGGGGGGGGCGGAGGGAGAGGAGCAGGGAGCCTTCCCAGGGCCACCTCTTCCTCAGGTCTCATTCAGGGATACCCACAGGAGGGACAAGGCTGGCTCTGGCCTCTTGCAGGTTTTTGGCCTTGTGTGAGTGCAGGCCAGCTCCACGTCCAGACACGTCCATTCATTCACCCAACACTTACTGACACCTGCTATGCCTCAGGCACTGGTCCAGGTTCTGGGGAGACAGTGGGGAACACTGAGACTAAACCCAAACAATGAAACCATACAGTAGGTGCAGAGTGCCGGGGACTAAAATTCAGGAGGTGAGGGTGCCAGGGAGGGCCAGGGGGGAGGGAAAGGCCCAATGAGACCTTGAAACTTTTTTAAGAGTGATCCCTGAGGACTCTGGGAGGGGCACACAAGGCCCGGAGAATGGCACAGCAACCAGGGAAACGACAGAGCATAGTAGCAACTCTCACCGCTGCCCGGCCCTGCGCCCTGCATGCACCTGCCCCCTTTGCCTCCACCCTCGGAGGAGGTGGCATCGGATTCCTACGTTACCCAGAGGAAAGCAAGCTCAGAAGGCTGAAGGATGAGCCAGGCGGCCCCTCGGCCCCCGAGCTCTCCCACCTCCGCTCCCACGAAACACGCATGGGGTCCTCTCTCTGTCGGCCGGCTGCGGCGGAGCACAACAGAAGAGGACCAAGTGCTGGGGACCCCCTCCAGGCCCGGCCTTGCAGGGTCGTTATGCAGTCAGACCAGGCATCTGCCAAATGCTAGAGCGCCCCGC